GCTGAACTATTTTTGATAGTTATAAAAAATAAATTTGAGATTAAAAATTTATATTGTGAGATATAAAGTTTATTATTAGAATTTCAAGAAATAAATATGCAATTAATTGTGAGAAATATAACCATTTTATATAAATAGTAATAATTTTAGATTAAAAATTGGAAATAAAAAAAACTATTTTGAATTAAAACTGATAAAATAAAAAGTTGAGATGTAAAGTTACATTATGAGAAAGTTGCAATTGTGAATAAATTACAAGAAATAAACTGGTTATGAGAAGTTGCAGTTGTTAAAGGGATAGTGCACGCAAAAATGAAAAAAATTGGATGTTTATCTGCTTACCCCAAGGGCATCCAAGATGTAGGTGACTTTGTTTCTTCAGTAGAACACAAACGAAGATTTTTAACTCAAACCGTTGCAGTCTGTCAGTCATATAATGCAAGTGGATGGGAATCACGACTTTGAGAGTCAAAAAAACACACAAACAAAACCAAATTAAACCCTGCGGCTCGTGATGATACATTGATGTGTAAAGACACGAAACAATCGGTCTGTGCAAGAAACGGAACAGTATTTATATAGTTTTTTTTAACCTCTGATTCACCGCAATGTCCGAACTGTCCTGAGCGCATTCTCAACAGCCGACTTCTTCTTCTTGCTTTACGGCGGATCGCAGACTTATAAGTGCATTACCGCCACCTATCTCTCAAATGGACCATTGACACTCCTAATTGAGATTGTAGATAGAGAGACATTTCCATTTATGAGTGTTTTTTGTGTTTTTGCTTTCCTACTATTCTATTATGTGCTGATATATTACATTCAGTATAGGAGTGGTATACATGACAAGAAGTTCCCCTTCGGGAACTCGAGCTGCGTCGGAAAATGCTAGGGGAACGCCTTCAGCGATACCAAGCTCTGAATCATATGTGTAATCAGTCGAACGATGGGCGAGACGTCCGCGGCGGGTGACGTCATGACCAGGAAGCTTTAAAAGCACGTGAGGTGCCACCGGCGCTAGCTTTCTGTCATTCAGCGAAGCTCTCTGTGTGTGTCGGTCACGATTTATGTTCTGTGAGTCTTATTTATTGTTGTCTGTCCAAAGTCTATAAGCTCCAGCTATGTCTAAGCTCATGCAAGGACAAAGCATTTCAAGGGCGAGAGCAGGCCACGTTGTAGGTTGTGTGTTCCTCCCTGCCCAAAGATAAAGTTATATCACGAGTGGGGACACACACAGCCTGTGCGTGGTTTGCTTGCGAGCGAAGCATAGTTGTTACTGCCTTGCTTCGCTCTCAGAGGGCTCCGAGGAGTTGTCCGTGCCTGTGATCTTGCGATTGCGGTCCCGCTGCTGCTGAGGCGGCGGCGTGGACATCTCGTTCCCCTAGCGTTTTCCGACGCAGCTCGAGTTCCCGAAGGGGAACGTCCCAGGTTACGTATGTAACCATGGTTCCCAGAGGGAACGAGACGCTGCGTCGCAAGGCCATACTTCCGGCATCCCTACTAGAGCTTGCTTCACTCCTAAGAAGCTAGCGCCGGTGGCACCTCACGTGCTTTTAAAGCTTCCTGGTCATGACGTCACCCGCCGCGGACGTCTCGCCCATCGTTTGACTGATTACACATATGATTCAGAGCTTGGTATCGCTGAAGGCGTTCCCCTAGCGTTTTCCGACGCAGCGTCTCGTTCCCTCGGGGAACCATGGTTACATACGTAACCTGGGACGTTTTTAGCTCATAGACTGTCTTCCCCTGGTGGTTAGAGCTGGTTTGAACTGGTTTGCATGATTTTGACACATCCTGTGTTTGCTGCATCTTAGTTCTGAGAAATCATTTGTGACATCTGTAGAGGTCGCAGCCAAAGGGGGAGGGGGAATATCTATATAAAACACCCACAGAGATATTGGTTTTGGTCTTCTCACTGCAGAATCTCTGTATGTCAGGTGACCTTCTTGCAAGAATAACCTTCCTACTTTTCTGATAACATTGGTCTCTGAGTTTTATTCCACCTCACCACAAAGTTGGAAAATATTTTTCAATGACACTATATACATTTTTAGGCCTATTATATATTATATCAGCTATATAAACTAACTTCACTTTCATTTGCACTGATCTTAGTTTTTGCACTGATTAAGCAAGTTTTTTATTTTTATTTTTTATTTTACTTATCTTCTTTCATGGACAGTTGCTGTGTAAATGTGTTTAAATTCATATTTTTCAATCCTTTAATCTTCGGCAGTGAATTGTGCTGACTCTCTCAATCACGTATTGAGAGTGAAAGTCAATCACAATATTTTTTATGCTTCAAACATGTGAATGGCTGTTCACTACTGATGTCACACTTTTATATGCACATGCTCCATGAACTTAGGATCAAAGCCCGAGTTGACAGAAGAAAGTTGATGATCAGCAATTCAGCATCATATTAAACAAAGCCTGACTGCATTTGTTTGGTTTGTCAACTCAAACCTAATCCTGTAACCCTGAGTTTGTTCAGCCACCATCATGGGTCATTCACAGTTTGTATCACTCCGATCATCTGTGAATCATTCTGCAATTTAGGGTACATTTCATATCCTTTGATGATAATTATATTTTTCCTAACAATTTACTTATTATACATAAAAGAAAAGCATATATAAAACCTGCATAGTCTTCACTGTATGAATTAACTATGCTACAAAATCTATTCGGTCAATAGCATCGAGTGATTTTTTATTTGTCTTTTGTTGTCTGAGATGGGGATGTAAAGATTAACTGCGAGCCGGCTGAAAATCGATTCAAATATGTGACGATTCAAATCGTGTGAGATGCCAAACAAATTGCGATACAATTGGAGTAGGAGTTTATATGAATGTATCGCTGAGGGGAACTGACTATCTTTAGAAATGTTTATGTTATGTTTCTTTTCATCTTGCCTCTGAACAATGCATATTAAAGTAGTGTTCATAAGCACAGCTCTGCTTTGTTTACAGTGGTAACCCAGGAAACACTGTATGATTGCTGTTCATGAGCGCCCCCTGCTGTCAGAGAGTGAATCTGTGTCTCATTCAGCTCGTCTGCTGTTTCGTTCAGATAGGTTTTATGTAGTATAGTTCCACAAAACTAAAGTCAGACCATTTTGTTTTTGCTTCAAATTTCGAAATTATACAATCTAATTTAGATTAAAAACTTTAATCTAAATTGCATTGCAATAGTCCAGCCTGGATAGAACAAGAGCTTGAACGAGGAGTTGTGTTGCATGTTCTGAAAGAAAGGGCCTGATCTTCCTAATGTTGTATAAAGCAAGGACCGGGCAGTTTTAGCAATGTGGTCTGAGAAATTCAGCTTATCATCAATCACAACTCCAAGGTTTCTAGCTGTTTTTTGGTTCAAAAAACACATTATTTTCCACATACTGTACATTATTGTTTCTTCTCTATGCCCCGCCTTTCTGAAACGCATCGATTTTTACAAAGGTCATCGTTCTGAAAAGCGAGGTGTGCTCTGATTGGCCAGCTATCTATGCCCTGTCCGGACTGAGCAACGAGACAAAAATATTACAACCCATTATAAACTTAAATATAAAAAACGTACTTACAGTCTGTGAGTCAGAACAGCCGGCATTGTAGTCTACTCTCCCAGGATCAGGAAACAGTCCTCCATAAAATGCACTGTACACATCTGAATATTTGGGTTGAACTGTTCTGGATAGTTAACCTCTGATTTCTAGTCGTGTCCTCTTTTGGAATTTCAAACAAAGTAGTTTCGCTTTCACAACTAAACACACGGCGGGCTAGAGTGAGCGGCGGCTGGCAGCCTAGAGTGAGCGGAGGCGGGCGGCAACAACAATACTACAGCGAGAATAAAAGTTACGCCTTATTTCTTTGCGTGAACATTTGGTCGGCGTTATGCAAATCTTCCCACGTAGTAACGTAGACATGTGGGGGCATGTTAGAATGAGCCGTTTTAGGTAGGAGTGGTTGACTCTTAACTTTTATAAAGAATATCTCTTTGGATTTGAGACTTTAGTCTTTGCAACTTTACAGATCTTCTTTATGCACCAAGAGCTTGTAACACTTCAAAGAGAAAGGAAAAATGGAAATTGCACCATATGACCCCTTTAATTACCAACACACTTTCTGTTCTCCCTGATTTCTTCTTGTGTATTTATACTTCTTGTTTTGTTCAGTACAGTGTCTGGTATTGTTTGTAATTAGAGGTTGGTATGTAATGTAATTTATTTGTTATGTCGAGATGTTATGTAATTTTAACGGCATATTTTCTCATATTAACGAGATGTTACATCGTTAAAACAACATCTTTTTCTCATTAAAACGACATATTTTTCCATAATAACGAGGGGATATGTTGTTAAAATGACATAATTATCTCGTGAAAATCCCAGTCCATCAACCCGGCCTCCGCTGGCCTCTGTAGATCCCTCAGGTCACCCTCAGCTCGCCAAACCCGGTAGGTCATTCACGTCCTACTCCATCGGCATGTCTCCATCAGTCGGCCCCTTGGTGTCACCAGCCCTATTTCCACCATGGCTCCTCTCTCCATGGACTCCACCATTGGCCTGCTCCTGGCTCCTTCCTGGTCCTTAGAACTGTCACTCCTTCTTTTTGCCTGCCCCTCATCTGCCCGTCATCCACCTCCAGAGCCCCTACCCTCCCTCAGTTGGGCTGCTCCACGGTGCAAGGATGTTCTCTGTTCTCCCTGATTTGTCCTTGTGCATTTAAACTCCTTGTTTAATTCAGTTCAGTGTCCAGTATTGTTTGTAAATAGAGGTTGGTTTTCCCCTGCGTTTACTCCTTGGATTTATTAAAAGAACTCTCTTGGATTCCATTCTTTTGTCGTGTGCTTTATACTTAGCAACCTGTGACATTGATACTAGAATGAAACACAAATAAAATATTACATGTCAGTTTGTTTGTTTTTCAACACCTACAACATCTATTGCTGTTTGATTCTGGCCATTGCTATTCAGGTCATTGTTAACATCCGCAAGAAGCAGGTGAGTTTCCTGGAACAGAGAACAAGGTCGTCATATACTCTCAGACTGGCTAAAAAGGTAGGACTCATCTCCTCAATAATAAATAATTACATTTAAATGGTCTACTGTTTATGTACAAAGTGCATACAGTAAAGATTGTTTATTATATTATTTCTTACTTTAATGATACTATTAAATACTGTAAATACCTACTGTAGCTGAAAAAAATTAAATCACTTTATTTAATTTGCATCTTTCTTATTTGTTCTATTGTTTGTTTGTTTTTGCATCTTTGACGCAACTATTATTATTATTAATAATAATAATATTTTTATTTTTTAATAGCACAGATAAAATAAACCAAAAATAACTACCATGTGTTTTGATATATTGTTATTGTGAAATAAAATTACTCTAATCGTGAAATACGATTTTGGTCATATCGCTGGCCCCTAGATTACACTACAAAATGTGTTTTGTGTTAACACCTATTGCTGAGTAACTTGAAATACAGACATAATGTCTGTCATGCTCTTTGATGCATTCTTTTTGATAACAGTAATTAAATTAAATCGCAAGTCACATTGTAGGAGCCTATTTTGCTTCAGTGCCATATTTTGATTCGTGATATTCATATTTTGATTGATATATGAGATTCAGTACCATATTTTGCATATCATGTGATGCATTTCAGCTTTTAATATTTGTTTTACTGCTTTCATTTGTAAACTTACTGTACTCATGTATTCACTTTTATGGAATGCCAAACCTGACAAAATTAGAAATAAATAAATATACAAAGAAATGTAAAAATAAATAAATATATAGATAAATATACAAATACGGAAAATTTCCTTATTTATGTATATTTGTTTATTTTTCCACATTTTATTTATTCTTTTATTTATTTATACATTTATTTATTTCCACATTTATGTATTTATTTACGTATTTATTTCTACATTTCTTTGTCCATAATGAGGAAGACATGTTTTACCTCAGGAATAGTAATCGAGTCAGAGTAGGTGAGGGGTAAGCTTTGAGGCCACAGTGACATCTTGTGGTACCCAAATTAAATACAAGAACTATAGCCTACATGACGTGCCTGTTGATAGTGGGATGAATGACTTAAGCCTAGTTCACACTACACGACTTCAAACGTCGGCAGATCATTGTGCTGTTCAAACATGACTTGATTGTCTGTCTTGAAGTCGCTGTGGTGTTCACACTACGTGACACTATGTAAATGATCCACAACAGGGGGTGACACACTACACGAGCTGACAACAATTCTGTCACCCAATGACTCTATCAGTTCCCCAAACCACGTTTTGTCAAGAAAACACACGCGAAAAGTTGAATGGTAATGACGCGAAACAACAAGTGAAAAAGGAGTTGTTTATTTGAAAATAGATGTCGAGAAGAAATTAGTGCTAATTAGAAATGAGCTGTTTGTGTGATGATTTGTTCTGAAAAATTCCGCTCCATTACTTGGGTGCAAACTTTTCTTAAAGCCACGTTGCTGCTGCTTTTTTTTTTCAAAGCCACTAGAAGGCAAGCCTGCAACCTTTAGCCAAAAAAGCGGTAACGGCTAATGCTAACGCTTCCACTTTGACAGTACGTGGGAAAGGAGACAATAGGCTGTTTTTTAAATGGATATCAATGGAGGAGAGGCTTCAATATGCTGAATAAACAGCTTTTCAGAGGAACAGCTTATCATTTAATGAATTGACAGCCTATCGTCTAATCTTCAACATGTTTTACACTAAACAATACTTTTGGATTGAACTATTTTTAGAGTTTACACCTGGTGGGATTCAGCTTACAGCACTTCTCATTCATTCCTATGGTATCCGTAAACGGCGATTGAGTGTCGCACAACTCTGACTGAAATTCAATGACGTCAAGACTGTAATGTGATTAGTTATTAAGGCACACATGATCCAAGTTGACTGTTACACTATCCCCAATAGTGAATAATACAGACCCTTGTATCTCCCAATACGCTCCGGAGTGGTATTCGAGTGTATCTCATCATGCATCATGTTCTGGAAATAAATTGTGAAACTTTTTGACGAGATAAATAATAACTCCAAAATTATTAAGAATTCACTTTTGGCAGCAGAAAGAGCTTATCAAGAGCTTTCATTTGATATATGTATATATATATCTCCATTTCGCCCAAAATATCAGTTACACCCTTCTGGTTCTCACACCTAGATATAACAGCCACATTTTTGACTGTAGAGGAAGTAACAGTACATCAGTCTAGATGCAAATTGTAATCTACGAGATTCTGTGTACTGTTTTTTTGGTCCAATATGTAATATCTCTGTCTTATCCAAATTTAATAGGAGAAAATTATTGGTTGTTCAGTCTTTTACATTTTTAACACACTCTGTTAGCTTAGATCATTTAGAAGTTTCATCTGGTCTTGTTGAAATATATAGTTGAGTATCATCAGCATAACAATGGAAACTAATCCCGTATATTCTAATAATATTACCAAGGGGCAACATGTATATTAAAAATAGCAAAGGGCCTAGGACAGATCCTTGTGGCACTCCATACTTTACTGGATTTAATTCCCCATTTAAATAGACAAAGTGATAGCGATCGGAAAGGTAGGATCTAAACCATCTTAAAGCCTGCCCTTGAATACCTGTATAGTTTTGTAATCGATCTATGAGTATGTCATGATCTATAGTGTCGAACGCAGCACTATGGTCAAGTAAAACTAGCAATGAGATGCAGCCTTGGTCTGACGCAAGAAGCAAGTCATTTGTAATTTTAACAAGTGCAGTTTCTGTGCTATGATGGGGCTTGAAACCTAACTGAAATTCTTCATAGATATTTTTTGCAGGAAGGAGCACAATTGAGCAGACACCATTTTTTCAAAAATTGTAGACATAAACGGAAGATTTGAAATGGGTCTGTAATTTGCCAGTTCACTAGAATCTAGTTGTGGTTTCTTAATAAGAGGCTTAATAACCGCCAGCTTAAATGGTTTTGTGACATGAACTAACGATAACGACGAGTAAATAATATTGAGAATCGGTTTTTCTGCTACAGGTAACAACTCTTTCAGTAATTTAGTGGGTACAGGATCTAATAAACATGTTGTTGGTTTAGATGCAGTGATATGTTTATTTAGATCTTCCTGTCCTATAGTTGTAAAGCACTACAGTTTTTCTTTGGGTGCAATGAATGAAGCTGAATTACAAAAAACTGTTGATTCTACATTTGTTGTTGTATTTATGATGTATTATGATGTATGATGATCTATTTTATCAGTGAAGAAATTCATAAAGTAATTACTACTAAACTGAGGGAATATTTAGTTTGGGTGACGTCTGATTATTTGTTAATCTAGCCACTGTGCTAAATAAAAACCTTGGATTGTTTTGGTTATTTTCTTTGAGTTTGCAAATATGCTCGGCCCTGGCAACTTTTAAAGCCTGTCTATAGCTGTACATACTGTTTTTCTATGCAATTCTAAAAACTTCCAAGTTAGTTTTTCTCCATTTGCCTTCAAGATTACGAGTTCCCTTTCGATACTTCACTCGAACTGCGTCTTGCTTAGACGCATATGGGAAAAAAAGCCCTTTTCTCCACTCCATGTTCTTTCATTGACACTGAAACTGCACAGCCATTGGTTCGTGCAGTGCTTAGAAAAACGAACCAATGGCGACGAAGCCCACCAAAGCCCGCCATCTGCCTATATAAGTGGGCGCTCGCCACAGGATTCTCAGATTTCTTCTCCTTCAGCGACGACTCAACACTCATCACTGATCCTGAAAGCCTGCTCGCCGTTGACACGCCTTCGCAGCTGGAATCGGGACCTCTCAGCACAGCTGACCTGCTTCTCCGCCGCTACAGCGACGCAGTAGTTCCGGTCCGTTTCCCCTGCCACCATCCGGCGATTCTAAAAGAGCTTATTTCTAGCAGATAAGCCCTAAAAGAGCAAATTCTAGCGACGTTGTTGCAAATGTCACTCTGCGAGTGTGGCTCGTGCAGGGAACCTTGCACGATGCAGAAGAGCAATGAGTATGTCATCTGTCTGGGCAGACCCCAGGCCGAGGTGGACCTCTTCGCCTCAGAAGACAACTCTCACTGCCCAATCTATTTCTCAAAGACCAGGGATGCGTTGGCCCACGATTGGCCCAACCTCCTTCTCTATGCTTTTCCCCCGATTGCTCTGATCCCACGGGTAATCAGGCGAGTGAGGGAACAAGAACACAGGGTTCTCCTGGTGGCCCTCCTTTGGATGAACCAGCTGTGGCTATCGGGGCTAACTCAGCTACTGATAGCGGCCCCTTGGCCTGTTCCACTGAGACATGATCTCCTCTCTCAAGCGAACGGGACATTAAGGGCATCCTCGGCCTGACCAGGTGGACCTCTTCGCCTCAGAAGACAACTCTCACTGCCCAATCTATTTCTCAAAGACCAGGGATGCGTTGGCCCACGATTGGCCCAACCTCCTTCTCTATGCTTTTCCCCCGATTGCTCTGATCCCACGGGTAATCAGGCGAGTGAGGGAACAAGAACACAGGGTTCTCCTGGTGGCCCTCCTTTGGATGAACCAGCTGTGGCTATCGGGGCTAACTCAGCTACTGATAGCGGCCCCTTGGCCTGTTCCACTGAGACATGATCTCCTCTCTCAAGCGAACGGGACATTAAGGGCATCCTCGGCCTGACCTATGGGTCCTGCACCTCTAGCTGCTTGATAGTGGCCCCTTGGCCTGCTCCGCTAAGACAGGATCTCCTCTCTCAAACGAACGGACATTATGGCATCCTCGGCCCGACCTATGGGCCCTGCACCTCTGGCCGCTCTACGGGAGCCCTCGTGCCTCCCAGAGCGAGTCTTAAACACAATTTTGGATGCTAGAGCTCCGTCTACGAGACACCTCTATGCCTTAAAGTGGTCTTTTTTCTCTGCTTGGTGTCGAAACCGCGGCAAAGACCCCCTTACTTCCGATTTGGCAGAGGTGTTGTCATTTCTACAAGAGCTGCTGGATGAGGGACATTCCCCATCGACGCTCAAAGTCTATGTGGTGGCTATAGCGGCCTCTCATGCC